TTTTTTTTGTGTCTGTTACCACTTTTTCTCAGCTCTCACCGAACGGATTTCTTTCAACGATACGTCAAAAGATCACAAATCGTATCTAGTCGAAGACATTACCCTTCAAAATTGAAAAAATTTCCCTCGTTCCCCGTAAATGGGGGAAACCTCCAAAAAAATTACAAATTTAAAAATCGCTAATTTTCGAAATTTTTTAACTTTTTCAAAAATGAACATATCAATATAATTTATTTTTATATAGATGGTTGATGTCTTTACTTATCATTTGGTATATTTTTTTTGTAAATCTGACACTTAACCTGCCCACAGGGAAAGATTTAAAATGATAACTTTTTCACAAAAAATATACTTTTTCAACATAACTTTTGAAAATGTTCCGGAAGGTCTGACACTTTTATATATATCTTAAATTAAAGCTAATGTAATATACTTTAATTTGAAAAAAAAAAATTTGACCTCTGGACTTGTCTTCACGGCGAAAATGGCTACCAAATGCTATTATTGTGTCAAAATTCTCGATTTTATTATTTATATAATATTTAACTTTATAATGCTATAACTTATTGAAAAGTTTATGGAACCACACAATTTTTTTATGAGAAATAATATTTTTTAATAAACCCTTTTTCATTTGACATACTTTATCTTTATCGAGATATTAATAAGGAACCAGCAGATCAAGAAATTAAGCACTATCTAAAGATTTGCATCGAAGCGTTTATTTTTGATAGTGATTTTAATCACTGTCAGATATCATTATACTTGATCCAACTATACCACGTCACAACTGTGCCGCGACCCCCCTGTGCTGGGTTTTTTATAGTTGATTTTTACAAAAATGTATAAAAAAAAAAAATGATTTTCACCGTAAATTTTTTTGGCTAAGCTTGCAAAATTAAAATAATCATTATAAATTGTTAAATTTTATTAGCATTTAATATATGGTACTTTTTGTATTTTAATATGGACTAAAACTTGTATAATTCTAATGATACTAATAATATGATAAAAACTAAAAGTAAATAACATTTGTGTAATTATGTATACTGTCAAAGTGTGATAATATTACTTAGTGATAATGTCACTAGGGTTATATAATGGGGTTATTTTTTTTTGTTCGAGTGTCAGTATGCGTTGAGCGTTGATAATGGTAACATTGTCCACAAATTACGTGTACGCGATTTTTTTAGAAATGGTTTGTGTGACATTTTTAGTTAAATATTTTAGCTTCCATGCAAAGCTGAGAAGGTATTGGTTTTACTAAAATGTGTTTTTTTTTGTGTCTGTTACCACTTTTTCTCAGCTCTCACCGAAGCGATTTTTTTCAATGATACGTCAAAAAATCACAAATCGTATCTAGTCGAAGAAATTACCCTCAAAAATTGAAAAAAATTCCCTCGTTCCCCGTAAATGGGAGAAACCTCCGAAAAAATTACAAATTTAAAAATGGCTAATTTTCAAAATTTTTTCAATTTTTTTTACTAAAACTGCCGTAACTTTTTTAAAAATAAACATATCAATATAATTTTTTTTTTTATAGATGCATGATGTCATTACCTATCATTTCGTATATTTTTTTTATAAATCTGACTTTTTACCTGCCCACAGGGGGGGATTTAAAATGACAACTTTTTTACAAAAAATTAATTTTTTCAACTTAACTTTTGAAAGTGTTTCATAAGGTCTGACACTTTTATATATATCTTAAATTAAAGCTAATGTAATTTACTTTATTATGCGAAAAAAAAAAATTCGGACTTTGTTTTATCTTCAGGGTGAAAATGGCTACCAAATGCTATTTTTGTGTGAAAATTTTCGATTTTGTATTTTACATTTTTAACTTTATAATCATTCTACATACTTTATCTTAATTAGGATATTAATAATGAACTAGCAGATCATGTAGCTTTTGGAATAATCCACCAATTTTTTAAAATTAAACACTATCTAAAGATTTGCATCGAAGCGTTTTTTTTTTATAATGATTTTAATCACTGTCAGATATCATTATACTTGATCCATCTATACCACGTCACCACTGTGCCGCGACCCCCCTGTGCTGGGTTTTTTTTTTAGTTTCAATTTAAAATATACTCATTTTACAAAAACTATAAAAATATACACAATTCATTTTTTAAGAAGATACCAGCCGTTCTGTTGTTTTTTTTGAAAGGAGGGTATTTTATTAACTTGTAAAATAGTATTTTTTTTTCGTCTAAAAATAACAATTGCAAAACAATAAAATAACACTATATTCACATTTCGCGATTCAAATCTTAAAATATGTGCATAGTATATATTTTACTCGTTCTGTGTTAATTTTAGAAAAAAAAAATAACTCGATAACTAATTAAAAGAAAATAGTATTTTTAAAATTACCAAACCGTTTTTAAGTATACATATTTATTTGCGATTAAAAAGTTCTATTATTCAGAGCAAACCCGATTATAGTAATATTTAAATAATATTATTTTTAATTTTAGAGTGGATTTATAATTTAAACAAACATTTCAATGACAATTAAATTATGAAACGTCACATAACAGTGATAAATATTCAACTAATATCTCAATTTAAAAAAAACAATTCATTACTTTCCGCATAATCAATAAATGTGTTTAAAACATTAAAGTCTCCATTTTTAAATAAATATCTTAAATTTTTGATAAATATTCTAGCAGCATCCAAACTATAATACTTAACTGTTTTCAGGTCATTTTTGTTGTGAACTGGTCTACCTTTTTTTGTGATAAGTTCTTTGCCGTCCAAATTCATTTCTTCTAATGCATTACACCCTAAATTTAAACATAACAAGTTTAAATATAATTTGAGAATGTGAATATCAATGTCTCTGTGTTCATGAATTCTTTTTTCTACGTCACAAACAAAGTCATTATTTTTTAATTGAAAGTACGTTATAAACTTTCTAAGTATTATTAACCATTTGTAAACCAAAGTTTCCTTGATTAATTCATCATCTTGTTCTTTGATAAACAAGAAATGTTTCCATGTTAGCCTTAAAATAATGATTTTGATGAAATCAAAAACTGAATCGTAGTATATTTGTATACCTTTCATTTTATTTTCCTTCCAATCAATATTATGTGCATTTTCGTAGTTTTCTTTCAATTTCTGTATAGTATTTGTTTTGGTTGTTTCTCATTTGACCTGTACGTTGTAAGTATTCATTAAATGCATCGTTTTGTGAACGTCATCTCCGATATTTTTAATTAGAATATTGTTTTTATTAAATTTCTCGGGATTTATTTTAGATGATTTAGTATTATTCGTAGTTAATTTGTCCATCATTTCTGTTATTCTAATGTTGTAACTCCATATATCATGCAACGGCAGATTTTTTAATCGTTGTAGCTCCATATCTTGTGCACAGTACTTGTTCTCTTTTCTATAACATTTCATGGCCGAAGCCTCAGATTTTAATGCATCTATAACGAAATCATGATTATCTTTAAGACAACTTATTAAATGCTTAACTGGTTCTAATTGTATTAATTTATTTATATGGAAACTAACAAGGCTTAAATAAATACTTAATAACCACAAAGAACCTATTTCAACGCCTTCCATATCATACAACGTACTCATTATTTTTTTCAAAACACCAAGGTAATTTCCTTTAGAGTAAAACGCATTATTTAATTCAAAATTTGGATGACATATTTCTAATCTCGCCATTTGCATATAGTTCAAAGCATTTATTAAATAATAACATTTCAAATGCTGAACATTTTCGATGGACTCTAGTTGGTTTTCATTGTATCTTGTAATGAGTGAAACACAACGGCTCATTTGTAATAAAAGTAACAACACAGCTACTTTCGTTATATTATTTGAATAAACGGTTTGATATAACATCTTAATGGAACAAACAATCGTATATTATATAAAACTAGTTATAAGAGTATTAAGAAACGTAAATTATTGAAAACTACAAATTTTTAGTCTTGCACTTCTTTTAAAGAAACTATAATTAATTCTATTTACTTAAAAAAAAAATAGGGCCAAATTGACATTTATTACAATAACAACAGATAAAAAATGTTATATATATATATATGAGCTATCTAATGGAGATGGAAGACATATCAATCCCTCCACTAATGATGAAAACAATTATGTGAAAAAAATCGAGATATTAAAGTGAATAGAAAAGAAATTTCTTGTGAAAATCCTCATTTTCTAATACTTATATCGGTGCTCTTTAATTTATTTATAATATAAACTTTGTAAATACTTAATACTCTATAATAAAAAACATTTAAAACTAAATCTAGTTTTATTAGTAAATTAAACACCAGGTTTTATTACTCCTAAATTTAGAAAATTTAATCGTCTCTAAATATACCTTATATTTTTTTCTTAGTCATTAGTTATTATGAAGATTATAAACGCATTATATGCTAGTAAAAAAGTATTAGTCAATATAACTTTTAATTAATTTTATTTATGTACACATCTGCTACAAAAATTTAGTAAATTAAAATTTTTTTTTAACTTATCATATTTTTATTACTCAAATAAATAATACATTTTTAACATCGAGTTTTTAATTGAACTAGAATTTTCCACTTTCAATTATCATCAATGTTAAAACGAAATTTTTTTTTTGTATTTATTTTTTGGATATCATCAGCTCATGGTAATAAGTATTATTTTTAAAGTATGCTTTTTGAAGGATTTTTGAATACATAAAATCAATATTTTAACTATTAGTTTTTAAATGTTATCAAATAGAATTTTACTTTTTTAGTACTATGCAAACCATTAAATAATGAATCGATAACAAGTAAGGTCTTTGTTTACAAATATATTCATAATAAAATTTTATTTCATTTTAGTCTAATGATAAATTTTTCCAAGAAAAATATGATATAAAACTGTAAGATACGCACTTTTTAGACGAACTAAAATATTAGAAAATCTGACCCGTTACTTGTCTACAGGGGGGATTCAAATTGGCAATTAAAAAAAAAATTTACTTTTGATAACGTTCTGGAAATTCTGTGACTTTTATGTATTTCTTGAATTAAAATTTATGTAATATACTTTAATAGAAAAAAAAATTCAAACTTTAAATTATCTTCATGGTGAAATGATTTCCGTATTCAAAAACATGCTATTTTTGTGATAAAATTCTCGATTTTTATTTTAAATATCTACAAACTTCTTTATATTAAAATACATTACAAGGGTTTGCTATAATAATGAGTCCACCGATTTTTATATAAGTTACATGAATCTAACTATAATTGATTATAGATTTAAACTTATTTTGAATATTTTGTCTCCTACGTTAAGATAAACAAATTTGAATTTTCGAAATAGCTTAAATTATCCTTTTAAACTACCAACATGTGTTATACACGATTGTTTAGTTCAAACCCATCCGTAAAATATCTTTTGTCTTAATTATTTTTTAGGTGGTTGTAACTATGATGTATGTTTCAGAGTGTTGGGCGGTTGACAAAATAGAGTAGAGAATGAGTGTAGCAGAAATGAGGATGCTTAGATGAATGAGAGGAGTGACTAGAGAAGGTAGGATAAGGTACGAGCATATAAGAAGTATAAGTGTAACATCAATCACGAATAAGATGAGAGAAAATAGACTTAGATGGTCTGGTCATGTTATTTGGAGAGAGGAATCGGAAGCTATAAGAACAGTTAAATAAATTAATGTTAAAGGAAGACAAAGAACATAGATAGAGACTTGTTATTGCGTAATGCATTAAATTATCATAAAAATTTTTATTTATTGATTTCAAACTTGCAAATTGAGTTAAAAAAAATTTATGATAACAAGTTCAAACTTTCTTATTATTAACTTTCATAAAATTCAACTTTAAAAGACCAAAAAAATTACATTTCTATCGGATTATTTTTAACATATTAATAATTGAAATCAATAATAATTTGAAAAAACAATTTTTCTAATTAATTATTTTTATGTATGTAAATACTCGTTTTTTACAAATTAGTAATAATATCAAAAAAGATGTAAAGAAATTTACTTTTCCAACTTAACTTTAAAAAAGATTCTGAAAATACTGCGTTTTTTTTAATATATGTTAAATTAATGTTTATGATACGCACTATATATAAAAACAAAAATTTGACGTGACCTTTCTTTAATGTGCAAATGGCTGCCGTAGTTAAAAACATACTATTTTTGTGTTCAAATTATTACTTTTTGTTTATTTTAAAATAATGATTTGCCATAGTATTGAGGCCATCGATTTTATAAAAGTTACAGGAATTTAACTTTCATTGAATATAATTTTAAACTTATTTTTAATATTTTGACGCCTCTAAGTTAAGAAAAACGACTATTAACTAGCATAAATTGTCTTTTTGCAATATAATTTACGATAACCGAATCGATTATAATACAATCTCTCATGCTCAGGGACAAAGTTCGAACGCCGCCCATCAATATGACTTTTTTTTCTTATTTATTTATTTTTGTTACACGTAAATATTCATTTTTCATTAATAAGTTATAATCTCAAAAAAGAGGTGATAGAAAAAATCTAATTTCAGATTTGAAATCGGTGCAATAATAAGTTTTAGAAAAGTGTATTTTTTTCTCTGATTAAAATTCCTTATAAACCATTTATTTTTAATTAACAACAAATTATATCATAAAAAGTTTTGTATCTAGCAGTTAATAATTTTTTATAATTTTAAAAACTACAACACTAAATTATGAAATATCAATTTTATAAAATATATTAGTTATAATAAATGTATATTCATATATCACACTTATAAATCAAATCAATTTTAATCAAGATATAAATAAGGAAATAGTAATTAATTTTGCTTTCGTAATAATCGATTAATTTCTTGAAATTAAATACTATCTATAGATTTACATGAAGCGTTACTTATGATAGTGATTTTGATCACTATCAGATATCATCTATACTTCTACCAACTATCCCACGTCTACACTGTGCTACAGTATTTTTCTTTATGTCTATCGCCACTTTTTCTCAACTCTTACCTAACCGATATCTTTCATCAATATGTCAAAATATTACATATCGTGTCTAGTTGAAGTCATTGCCCTTAAAAATTAAATTGAAAATTCTCTCGTTCCTTGTAAAAGAGAGAAATTTCCAAAAAAATATAATTTTTTTTAATTAATTTTTTATATATCTCATTCATGTTTAAATATATTTTATTTTTAAAGACGTTCATTAAGTATTTTTTCAATAAGTTGAACAATAATATGTATGTAAGATGTTTTTAATCGAATACATTTTTTTAATTCAATGTCTTATTATTATTATTATTGAATCATACAAATAACACTCTTTAGAAGATCATAAAATATATAAAAAATAGTCTTTAATAACTTAAATAAATGTTGAAACTTCATTATTTTATATATTATAATCAAAACATGAACAAATGTTGTTTAAAAATCTTTTAATTTTTTGGAGTGAATAATTTCAAAATCAATACCTTCTCATAAATACATCTTAAATTAAAATTGTTATTTACGTTACTGCCTATGAAATTTAATATAATTTTATAATTTCTTCTGATTTAAGCATTTATCATACTTTTTTTTAAGGGAAACTATCGAAGCTTCTTAAATATTTTTGTCTAGTAATTAAACAAGGTAATTTGGCATTTGCTATGAAAAAAATAAAATAGGGAAAATATTTTATAATAATTTATTTATTTTTCAATATTTGCGAAATATTATGATATTAACTATTTTAGTTTATTATACATAATTTCAGATAAAAAGCTACCATCAGGTATTTTATTGACAAATACATACTTGGTTAGAATTATTTTTAGAATCATTACATCAAAAAAAATTTCATGTTTTATTTATTTCATAAAATATGAATATTATTCAACCCAAGACAATTAATGTTGATACACGAAAATATTATACACTTAAATTTATTTTTAAATTTTTTTTTTAAATATCCATAATTATGTTATAAATTACAAAAATACCAAATAATTATACTTGAAATTTTTTTTGTATTTTTTTATTATAATGTTAATATTTAGAATAAATGTACATCTCATAATCCCTTAAAATGATGACTATATAAATTGAATTGTTTAAAAATTATAAGAGTTGTCAGTTAAATCTAAGATACTTTGTTTATAAGTTGACTCGTTGCATTAAAATAATTCTATTATAAAAATATTTATTTTAATTATTTAAACTTATACATTTTTTAGAAACCAGCAATTCAAATAATATTTACTACTTGGGTAACAGTAATATACATTTTTCATACTTGTACATAAAAATATCTAATAAGTCTAATATTCAATTCAAGCGATTTATTATTGTATAATATTATACTATGCCAATTTAAAAATAAACAATAACAGATTTTATCTTGATGCAGAAACTAAATTTTGCGTGAAAACAAATTAATACCAGAAAACATAACAGTGTTTTTTAAAATTGAACCAAATAATGCCACACTAGCATTAAATATTAATTGATACTAAATACCTAATTAATGATACATATGTAAATTAATCAAACAGTTAATGACTTAAGGTTATTTTAAAATTAATGTTTCACTTGATTACATTTTTGAATAAAACACATAATAAAAAATTTGAAGTTATTTATGTTTTTTAATTTTATGTTTATCTAAAAACAATAATGATGATGAATATTTTTGCTATAATTATTCATTACGTTTATTAAATTCAAATATACGTTTACAAATTTTTTGAAATTTAATATTTTCAACATTTTGTCAAAGTATTTGTTTATTAAATAACATTATTTCAGCATAACTTTTTTTTTTTTAGAAAATGAAAATTCTGATTCATCAGGTAAAATTTTAATAAGAATGTCTAAATAAAACAATTAAATAGGGAGTCTCATAAAATACAAAAAAAAGTTTATCTTATGTAATTTTTAAAATAAATTTGTTAGCATTAGTGTTCACATCATTTTAAAGATTTACTGCTCCTTTGGCATGTATATTAGTCTTTTTCAAATCCGTCGAGAAGAACATTAGAAATTATAAAGATTGCGTTAAAACATGCCAACTATCTTAAGAGGGTTGGATTATATGTTGTATATTTTTTCATTATGAAATAAAAGATTTTTTTGAATGTTAACATGTATAATAAAATATATTTATTTTAAAATATTGAGGAATTTATGGGTCAGCTAGACAGTAATTTTAAATTTCATTAAAATAAGAAATTGAAACATTCCAATAACTTTTCACGCTTTGACACGGCCCGTAATAGCGCACTATTCATTTACCGTGAATTAGCACGTTATCCGGTCGTGATTATCAGCTGTCCACCGTCGCACTCATTAGTGTTGACGATAACACAAGTTTGTCTTATCCGGCGGTCGGTAGATAGGACAGGCCAGGGGGTGCAGCACCGCGAGACACGTCGGCGACTATGTAAACCAGTTAATCTGTGACTTACATCCGCCGTACGTGCCGTGTGATTTTTCATCAGCGCATTATCGATTTCTTTTTGTATTTCGCACCTCACTGTCACCAATTTTTATAATATTATTATAATTCAAAATAAAGTTAATCGACTACTTAACGGTGTTACATTTTTATTTTATTAAAAACACCTTTATACTGTGTCAGCTTTCAATAATTTATTCTTCATTAATTAAACATAAATGTTACTTAAATTTTTGAATTTTAATATATTGTTTTTACCAAATGTAAATCGATATTTTTATGTTACTTTAATTATATAACTACAATGTTGACTCAAGATACATATTATTTAATAAGTAATCTTAACTGAGTATTCAAAATTACAAAAATTTAAGTGGACATATCATTTGATATTAAATTTTATATTATAATAGCATGAAAATTTGATTGCCACATTAACCAGTAATTCGTCATTAAACCTCCCCGAAAATTCTATATTGACAGTTAAAATAGAAAGAACTAAACTAATGTAATTTAATATATTTTGAATGTATATTTATATATACACTTAGTGATATGTATTAGCATCAAAATTTTAGGTTTTATTCCAAAATTGACAAGTTCAGAACAAAAAAATATTTATTGAGTACTAACAGGGTATTGCCTTATGGTCTTTTTTGCTAAATAAACTTATCAAATAATAAGAATTTTTTAAAATTAATTATGTTTATATACTTAGTTGAAAATAAGTTTAATAATATCAACATAAGTTTTGCAACATGATACTCTATATTTATGACAAACATTTATGACTTTCAATATATAAGATGGACAAGACTCATTTTTTCAAAAATTAATAAGAATTCAATATTTTTCTTCACGTATTTTTCATTGAGAATATCAAAAACCTTACATATATTTTTTAAATAGATATTATAATTAAATAATTATTATTCATAAAGTATTAACAGTTTTTAATCGACATGAAAATTATTTTGTTTTTATGAGGGGAGAAGAATAATGACAATAAAATCAAAAATTTAAATAAAATACAATATACATTTTATAAGTTAAATATAAAATCATCTATAATTAGCCTTTTAACATAAAATCTTATGGTCTTAATTTATGATTATAGATGAAATCATTTTATAATGCCACCGATTTAAGAAAATGTATCTATAGATATCCGATTTAAACCGTAAAAAGAGTCCACTATTGAGTCCAAAAGTTATAAAGCTTCATCTTATCTGTGATAATAGTACAATGTTTAACAATACAACTCTTGAACTTAGGAACAAAATAATTAATGAACGAATCATCATCAGGAATCACTTCAAAAAACAACTCGTTCACTAATTCTTCAGACCTTATATCCTTGATCGAATAAGAAATTTCTTGTATTAAAATTTATATGAAATTATGAACGAACGAATCATACTTTTATGTATTTGAATCAACTCGTTCAACGAAATAATTCGTTCATTTTGAACAAATCATTCGCAAACGACCCATTACTTTATCTTACATTAAATTTTATTTTATTTATTAATATTCTTTACTGGTCAATCACTCTGTATATCAACTTATCATTCTTTAAATATTAAAATAATATTCTGTGTATTTAATGTTATTTGGAATCCAAGTACATGCAACTTAAAATGCATAATTATTTTAGATCTTTTCATTAAAAATAATTCCTTGGGTAAAATTATATAGAACTTAATCAAAAAAATTATTTATTTAGGAAGCTTATTAGGTTGTTATGTTTTATAACCTTATATGATCTTCAGCCGATTTCTAACTAGTTTTAAAGACAGCTTATTAAAATTACTCCAGCCCTAAACAGTTTAGATTACAATTTTACTACAGTTATCAAGTAATGAGAAATTTTTTTTGTTAAAACGTTTAATCAGTAATAAAAGTTGAAATTCAACCATTTTAGACATAAATGATCATGTAATTTCTCGTTGAAAAAAATACATATTATTTTAACCATTATGTCTAAGGAATTTGAAGCAGTTGTAAAATAAACACTTGTTAATACTAATTAGTTACTTAAAATAACTCATTAAGCAACAAATGTTAAAATAATATTATCTCAAAAAAACATTGATTAAACAACAATGTTCTATTATTCGTTTACAGATGAGTGTAAAATTTGCAATAATGAGTTTAAAACAGTGATATTGAAACCTTGTAAACACAGGTTTGGTAATTTCTGCGCTAATCAATTAAAAATATCAGAAAGTAATTGTCCAATATGTAGAGATTCAATAAATACATTTGAAGGACTAGGTACGTGCTTTAAAATAGTTTTACAATAATTCTTCTAGAGAAATAGAGCAATTATAACGGACTCAATCCTATGATCTTAAAATCATATTTTTCATTTTAATGATATTTGCATATTTCATTCAATTTCAATAATTTCATTATTTCCCAGCTATAAATATCTAGTTTAGCGGATTTTTAATTTAAATGGTAAAAAGTGATACTACTCATGATAATATTTTTTCTCGGAAATCTATTGTATTTTAGTCATTCTTATGGTCATAACTTTGACAGAAATATACAATAAGTATTGTAAAAAATTTTCAGCTGTAACTGTAACAAATTGTAATTGCTTTAATTTTTATAAATCAAATTAAATTTTTTTACTATTACAAAATTTAAAAAAATGATGATTTTTATTAAATTTGATGTTGAATACATATGATAATGGTTAGGAAAACATTTTATTGATTCAAACTTGTTATTACATAGATTTATACAAAATTGACCGTATTTTAACTCATATTTAATGGTTAACATAGAAGTAGTCAGATTTAGGGGCTAGACCAAATTAGGTAACTTTTACACAAGAGCTTTCATTTTATATGTTATAATAAATAAAAAAATAAAATTAATTATATTACTATTATTGTTCTCAAGTATCATTCGGGTTAAACTCAAAATTAAAACTTAATACTCATTTAATGTATTTTTCAATATAAATTATTTTTTGTAATATATTTTACTATGTTTTAGTTGAAATGATAGAACGACCTGATGATATACTAATAAAACGATTCGAGGAAATTAAACTTCAAAATTCTAATTTATCTATGCGAGAATTCAGCCCTATAGAAATTAACCAATTACGTGATGGCATCATAAATAATACAATTTCTGATGCAAATATATGCGCAAGATATTANGATGCAAATCTATGCGCAAGATATTACTACCTTCGACGAGGACAAATTCCTGATGAAGAACTCTTACGGGACATAAGTGTCTTACCAGATTTTTATAAGTTTCACCCGTTAGCTGTAGGACTACGTTATTTAATTCATACTTTTCCTAGTGATATCCAACTCGAACATTGTTTTTATATGACAACGTTCAAGCTTGATCTAAGTACTGAAGAAACAGATATGTTACGTCACTATTATGACCGAAATGGTTATAATAGTGAACTAGAAATATCAATGCGATCTAAGTATCGTGAATTAACATTTATTTAATACATTAATAAAATCAACAGATATTTTATTGTTAATAATGACATTTTAAAATTGACCATTAGTTAAACTATATTTTCTTTAAATCATTTATAAAATTAGTATTATTAAAAATAATTTCTCAAAGATAATGCGACTTAATGATAAATGCACCTAAACTTCAAGATATTTCAGTTTAAGATCAATGATAGCATAAAAATGGAGTTTAATGTTTGTGCTGTTAATAATGATAATTATAATTCTATTGCAAACACAAATTATTCTTCAAATGGTCTACATAGGTATAATAATCATAAATTTATATTTTCTTTTAGATTGGCAACATGAAGTGCATATATTTTAAAAGAGAATTCATTGTTCATTACTTTAATTTCTTCCAGGTATCTTTTTTCAATTAATGTTATTTCTTCATCGGTTAAATTATTTTTTTCATTTAAATCAGTCGTAGTTGAACTTTTATTTTTTTTTAAGTCAGTGTAATTATTAAATTGTTCCAACAACCAATGTCTATCGAATTCAGTAGAAATATGTTCGAAATTTTGATCAGTTAAGAAACTTAATGCATGTAAGCAAACAAATAATCCGCAATCGTAATTATTTTTTTGTTGTAATGCGTTAGAAGCTTTAACTAATTCCCATTCATTAATATTTAACATAAAATCTGTTCCATTGCAATAGCTTGAGATAGTGTAAAATAAAAACAACATTCTTAATAAAGTACTAAAATGTATTGTTAAGTCGGATTTCATAATAAGAAATGAATCTAAAATAATTATCTTTTTCTGTTTAATGTGAATAATTCCTAAAATCCAATGACAGCCATTCAAGGGATCTGTATTTATGCTTATTATTATCATATCTTTTTTTAGAATATCAGATAATGAAGAAATATTTTTTAAAATTGAATAGTCTTTAATCAAAAAAAATGAATATATGCCTGATGGAATGTAATCGACAGAATTTTCTTTTTCGTTAGATATAATCAAATAATTAATAATATCATCCATAACATTTGATTGTATCCATTCTTGAGATATTAATGATTCATTGTCTGGATAGTATGGTTTAACCCAACCAAGTTCGTCTGACATTAAATAAATATTATTTAGTTAAAAAAATGTTAATTTATTTAATTTAATATCTAAAATGTTTAATTTAATTTTAAAATCTTGATTTAAGTAAAGATTTTTGAGTAATAAATAATAAAGTGTGCAATATGATTAATGTCTTACACCTATTTATAGTTAAATAAAAATTTTTATCCATTAAATAGTATACATAGGAAAGAAGTCATTTTGTTATAATTAATATAACTTGACCAATGGTAGTCTAACAGTGGAGAAAAGGTGAGTAGGATGGATCATCCTTATTTCATTTCTTAAATTTAAAAAATACAGAAGACAAATACTAGAAGACATAAAAAAAAACTGAAAATGTTTAATGTCTACAGTAGAATATGCTATATTACGTTGTCATCAGAAAATAGCTTTAAGAGATTACAAAGATTATGGACCAATATGTTTTGATAATATTATGTACAATACTCTATTGAAATTTTTTATTTTTTAATACAAAGTATTAGAAAAATTAAATTTTTCAAGAATGTCTTAGCTATTATATAAAAACTGAATAATGCTTTTGTAGTTAACTCCTATTTTAGTAAGTAATCCATTCATGTTAAGCAAATTAAAATGAAGAAAATGTCCGTGCAATATTTAAGTAAAAAACTAAATATTTCGATTAAATAAAAAATTTTTAGAGAACGACTCAAAAAATAAACATTTTAGTAATAGAACTCAAAGTGAAATAATAGAATCATGAATCAGTTAATGAATTAGGATATTTTCTGTATTATTTTTTGAAACAACTGATGTTTCTACAAAATAACAACTGTTTTTATGTGTTAGATATTTAACAAGGTCTGGTGAAAACATAAGTATGTACTAAACTTTTTTTTAAATTTATTGAAATTTAAAGTTTTACAGGAGGAACTGTAGCTTCAGTTTTTCTTAATAATAATAGTCGTTTAAATAATAATCAATTATTAAAAATCAATTGATGTGAACTTTTGTTGAATTTAAGGTTTAAAAAGTATTGGAAAAATAAGATGATACAATTAATATAAGATAGAAGATATATAAAAATATAATTGATACTATACTATAGTATAGTATTTAAGTATAATTTTATTAGTTTAAATAAAAATAGATTAGTTTAATAAATGTTCTAACCTGGTGATTTTTTTTCATCTGAAAAAAATTGTTTTACATTGAGTGATATAAGATTAAAAGTATAGTATTATACATTTAAAATTTGCTTAAGTTTTTTCTTTATTAATGTTAAAGATGTATTTTGGGAAAGTCTCAAGGTTACACCCTTCCCACGGAACAATGACTTAAAGTACAAAAGTAACGGTAGCACAGTGATGTTGCGGTACAGTGGGGACATGGCATAGTTGGGATACGTATAGATGATATCTGACAGTAATTAAAACTTCTACGTGCACGATCTCCTACATTGTCTACAATCACATCTGCCGTCCTCATATCGCATTCAATTTTTTAGAGAAATTTAATTAAAACTCAATTTTAATGACTTTAATTTTGTCCTAAAATAATTGGTTGTGTTACCCAACACTTACCAATAAGTGAACACCATTGGTATAACTAAATATTTAAACAAATTGCACGATTTAAATGGCAAAAATAAAAAAACTAATATTAACATCAAAATATGATATGAACAAACAAAATTTTATTTCAGTTACTTGGCTTTCTTGATTTTTAAAAAAAAATTAATCGAATAAGTTTGTTTATTATTTTATATCGCTAAAGTATTACAATTTTTAAGTAGATTTAATATTAAAAATATTAGAAGTTAATATGTCATAATGGATTTATCATATAGTTTTAAAATTCTATAAATCCTATATTGTTCAATAACTAGATAAATTACCCTATAAACTACATAAAATTGAAGAATCATTATTAATTTCAAAGAGAAGGATAAATAAGAAAAATTTTTACACTTTCTATCTGAGATACAATTACAATTTTAAACCCCTCCCCAAAAAATTTTTTTTGAAAATATATTTATGTAGTGATTTATTAAGGTGTCGTACGTCGGTAGTGCCCCAACGTAGACACAAAAGTTTATTAATGTTTTATATATATATATATTGACGACGAGTTCGTCGTTCGAGCTCTTCTCGAGTCCTCCTGTTGGATAAACTGATCAGCCCCAATCTCTCTAATTAGTGGACTACTAAAGGGGTAGAGTTTAGACCCGTCAGCACAGTCTAGCTCAAAAGTAGCAGACTGAAGGGTGGCTCCTTGTCAGCCACCAGCACAACTACCTTTTTACTATACCCACTAAAGGACGGTTAAGCCCAAACACTAGCCAGCTCGTACACTAATTATTAAGATTGACTAAAGGACTAGCAGTCCAACCTAGACTCTAGCCGCACACACACACACAAATTTCGAGAACACCGTGAATATAAAATATTTGCGCTTAGCCCAGATTTTTAAATAGTTATTTTATTTACGAAATGTATTAAACACAAAGTCAAATATAATATAATAATTTAACACAAAAATTAATTAAATCTTACAAAAGTATAAAGTTATTCTTACATCAACGACCTAACCCGTAACTAGACGTTTCTTCGACAAAACGTCCAGTCTCGTCTCGCCCAGTATCGTCCCCCTATACTTTTCATGTTTCCCTTTTATATTCTTTTTCCCACCATTATTAATTTGCTTACCCTGCATTTCCCTTTTATATGGAATTATTATATTGCTTAAGAGTTCAAAAATTGCTTACTACTATTGAAAAGCTTATATTATACTAAAATCGACGTAATTCAATACTTCCTCATCTAATTACTACAAAGGATAATTAATGAATACATAATAACTAGTGTCTTTACCTGCTGTCTTAGAGAGAAATTGGTTAGATCTTGAAAATTTTTCTTAAAAATTGAAATAACAAAAATAAAATAATTATTTTGAACTAAAATTATAATTTTTAATTATACCATATTTTTCAATTTATTAAAGATAGTTTTTTACCATTTTTTTTTGAACATTCTTCATCTTCTATTAATATGTCAAACAAAATATTATTCGTAAGTATCACTTAGAAGCATAAAATTTAATAATAATGAAAAATAATCGCTAAATTAGGAATATTTTTCGGAGGAAGGCCTGAATGATGTATGTTGATCAATATCATCCTTCTTTGAAAAAATTATTCATACTAGGAAAAAATATTAAATTTTTTTATAATAACTTTTATTTTGTGGTTATTTTCCAATATACCCGCGCTTAACCTTAAGTCTATATTTAAAATGGTAGTAACTCCCTAATTAATGAGTGAAAAGTTGTTCTCGGCTAGTTTTTTTCTTAGTTGGATCATTTTTAATTTTATAAGCTAGTGACCTAGGGGTATTTTCTAAATCATCCTTATTATTTTATGGACATTTTATTAAAATCAAAAATAAAGTATCATTGATGCCAGGATTCATAAGTCAACTCTGTAAAGATTCATAATATTCAAAACACAATAATTTATATAATCGATCCATATTTAATTTAATTCAAATTAAAAATAATGTTGTAAAACCTCTGTATGATTGAGTCATTGAAAAATTGATTTTTAAGAATAGTCTATTTAATATATAACATTGAACACAAGCCGTTCTCTATAATACTCTATTCTCTTTTTTAAATATTCACGCACTAAAATAAAGGAAAATTTGGTTAGATTTGTTTTATTTTATTATTCGTAAATGAATTTACTTATTCTTCTTCTTCCTCGCTTTAATCCAAACTACTTGAAGTCGGCAATCCTTATCCTAAACTTCCACTTGACAAAATCTTCCACATCCTCTACGCTCACATCAGATGTCCTCATATCGCATTCAATAACATCTCTCCATCTTTTTTTTAGTCTTCCTCTACCACTTCTTCCTTCAACATTCATTTCTATAACTGTTCTTCCAGCTTCCGGTTCTTCTTTTCTCATAACATGGCCAAACCATCTAAGTATATTTTCTCTCATCTTATCCACGATTGACGCTACATTTATACTCCCTTTTATATGCTCGTTCCATATCCTATCTTCTCTAGTCACTCCATTCATCCAAATTTAGTTTTTTTAATTAATTAATAGAATATTTTGATTTTTAAGGTTATCTCTAACCTTACACTAAATATGACAAATACAAAAATATTACATCTAAGAAATTGTTTTCAAAAAAATATCTATAAAAAAATAAAGGTCATGACGTAATTTTTCGTAGTACTACAATTTCGATGTAAAATAGAAAAAAAATATTTCAATGTATTTTATTAAAGTTTTATATTAAACTAAAATATATTGCAGTGAATTTTTTTTTTACTAAATTGGCTTTAGAGAATCCTTGATATTTTTTTCTGTACTCCCGAATGACCTATATAATAAATAAATGATTATTTAATGAACAATAATAGAGAGTATAGTAATAATTGAATTACATATAATTACGTGCAATGTGTATTGTTTTTGATTTTCATATTTAGTAAATTTCATATTAAATTCCTTCATTAGCTTTACTCCTCATTGTGCTGCGTCGTAAACTACTGCCAAGCCTTTATAAATATTTTTTCTATTGATAATTTATTGTTTTGTTATGAACATTAATATTTATTTGTTTCCAACATTCTGGTTTTCCATTTATAAATGTAGAATTGATTTGAAAACTTTGGAAAAATTATTTTGAATTCGGCGATATTAAATTAAAAGTGAGATCTTTATTTATAAAATCTGTAAAGTCGATGGTTTTTAAAATTAATTTTTTTAAGATCTCCTTCAAATTCTACATCTTTTTCGATATTTATGAAGTGCACGATTTGGTTCCCCATTCGTTTCTTTATATTTAAATGAATTTAAACAATAGATAACATGTTTCCTCTCCAAGGTACCATAAATGGTTTAAAAATCTATAGTGAATTCAGCTACTTGTACATCCTCAGATCTATATTCATCAAGTACTTTTAAAAATTAAATGTCACTTTATGGATCAATAGCATTTAGTGTCATAAACCAATATTTTATACAGCATTGTACAGCAAAACAATATATTATTTTTAATGATTTTAATTTAAATGGAATGAGATAATATTGTTTTTGGGACATTAACTCTTTGAGGCAATCAATTGCTTTACACATAAATAGCCAAATGATACGCGCCTGGTTTTCAAAAATTAAATAAGTGGTATTCCCCCTAAAAATATAATTACCAACTTCTAAAATTCTCTGTAGTATCTCATCTCTTGGTAGATTTTTATTTAAAGTTCTTGCAAAGAACGTTAAAATATGTGTATTTAATGTATCTTTAAGCTCAATATTACTAGAAAATATACAAAAAGTTTTATCAATTTTATTCAAACCATTTTTAAATTTTTCTAAAAATATTGATACCTAAATCAGACGTAGATGTTAATTTAGAGTACGAAAATATAGCTTGTAAAATTATCTCAAACATATAATGTTTGTATACATGCAAAAAATAAAATTGATTTATATAACTTTTGTTCCAAGAATACAGTAAAACTGTTTAAACGACCACTATTACATGCCGTTGTATCAAATGCTTGAACTTTTTCTAAAAGCTCCCAATCATTTAGAGTGTCATAAACAGCAGATGTAATCTCACTATTTTTTTCTGATATAAGTTCAGGTATTCCAAGAAGTTATTCAGTATTCGGAGCTGTAAAAATGATTGGAACCTGTTAACATTTTTATACCAGTTAAAATAGGAAATATTTTTAAATCTCAATGAAGTACTACATAAGGAAAATTTAAAAAGTACACGTTTTTCTAATATCAGTGGCTAATTGAATTAGAAAATATTCGTGGCTCTTTTTTATCGAACTATTATTAATCAAATAATCATTTAAATGATTATTAAACTATTCAGCGAAGGCTATAATTATTACAAATGTATTGCATCTTTGTCACTGACCTTACACTCATCTAAGGCTGATGCTAATCAGTTCGTCATTAAGTCTTTAATGTCACTTTTTCTTTTTTTTTGGAAGTAGTTCATTTGAGCTATCATTTACATAATTTTTATCATTAGAATAGTAGTCTGGTATTTCAGTCCAAACAAAATCAATGTTACGAAATGGACCTATATTTAAGAATAGTGTATTAGAACATTTTACAAAATATATAACATTTAATATGAATTATTTTATATAATTTAATTTTTAAATTACATATTTATATTTCGATGTATTTTAACTTACCAGGATTTTTTTTTTTTTAAGGACTGGTCGTTACTTGAGTTCAACTCTCTTATCTTCAATACCGGATAACTTTTTATCATCCTGCCATATAACCAACGCGATATTAGGCTTATCCTTCAAAGATAATTTTCAAAATCAATTTCATTGTTCGTTTGAGTTTCACTCTTTCTAAGTTTATTTTTTTTACTAATCAACGCCAAATTTTTCATCAAGTTTTACTTTTTTTTATAATATTACAATAGTCAAACATAAGTGTTCTTTTCCTATCCCAAAATAATGAATTAGAATAGAACTTGTAACGTCACAAACTTTAATGTGGACCGTTTATAAATTTTGTTATGTATACTTATTTAATTTTCTTATCACGCGAGAGATTGCACGAATGAATATCATTCTGACACAGTGGTGTCAGCAATTCATTATTTTTGTCGCTGACCGCTAGATAAGGCGACAAAAGACAAATATAATTAAAATCAAATTGTTTTCGGTTTTAATCCCTCCCAAAAAGACTGGCCGTTATCGATTTGAAATTGCCGTTAGATCGGTGTTATGAAAGAAGATCTTTCTTCTATCATTAACCGTACTAGAGTGCACATCTTTGTTGTTTTCTTGTCACTATTAATTTCAATCACAGAATAGAGCCGCCAAAAGTGAACAGCCAGATCTTTTTGGCGAATCATCCAGATCATTGCATGTGTCTCTTCGGAGACCGCGTATCGTTTTCTTTTTTATAATTATATTTTTGTAATGAGCTGTATTTTATTAATTGCTCTATTTCATTTTCATATTATTATAAATCATATTAATTTTATTTATGCGTGGAGAGCACGTGTTTATTTTTTCTTCTAGCCAACACTAAGAAGCGAGTGTCCAGACGGCTCCTGATAATGGTGATGGTGATCTTTGCTACTATAACTAGTCATGTAAGTGGTAACCAGGTTGTTGTTGCAGGCCAACAAAAAGCCCACTTGCAAACTATCATACTATCATAACTAAATATTAAGAGGCGCATATTACAAAATAAATGCTTAGACAATGTCTGTTCGAAGGTAATTTATTACTAGTAATTTCCTTACACATATTACTTATGAGATATAAGTTGATAATAATTCATGACATTTAATTCATTTTTTAATTAAATTAAATTTTATAAAAACCACTACACGTTTTTAGATACATTCTATATATAAGTTAGGCTAACCATTGATTAAAATATATGCAATGCTTATAGTTATAATTTTTAAAGGCTATATATTTAATAAAAAAAATTTGCTATAAATACTGCTATTAATTAAAAGTACTTTATGTCAAATAACCAAGATATAATTTTATCATTGACAAAACAAATATATATAAATGGAAAATGCTTGATTGAATTAAGATAAACATAGTTTTGAACCAAGCACATTGAAATATTCATATTTTTTCAATTTTTACACCGATAAATTTGTAGTACAACGAAAAATTACGTTATGACCTTTTTTTATAGATAATTTTTTGAAAATAATTTCTTATATGCAATATTTTTGTATTTGTAATATTTATAGAGATAAATGTTAAAGATCAAAAAATTCTTTTAAATAATTAAAAAATACTAAATTTCTACGTTTTTATGTCAATTTTCAATTCCTTTGAGTTATGTGAAAAGGTAAACCTAGGTCACTCAATGTTCATTAATATTTTTTGTATAGAACAAAATTTCGAATAAATTTATTTTAAAAAAATAACGAAGTATATATAGGGACCACTCTTATGAACCTATATTCATTAAAAAATTAATTGAATAATGGATAGTCTAAAAAGGTATGTTATAAATCAAATATTAAAAATTTTTAATATAGTCAAAGTATAATTAATCTTATAATATTTTTTTCAAATATCTGTTACTTTACCGTTCACCGATGATCCAAAAAAACAACTAATAAGCTTTTTATCTAAGAAAAAAAACATTAACAATAAGTTCTTTATCCTTACGTTTTATCAAAATAATATCTTAAGCAGTACAATTTTACATTGCGTGAATACAAAATCCTAACATGATTATAGAATCTTTAAATTTAACATAGTAAACAAGAAACAATAAGCTTTTTGTGGCATTATTTCTATAAAAATATTTTTTCAAACCTTTTTATAAAATAGATTTGAAGAAACCGTTGTATATAAAAATAAATCAACTGTCAAAGTAAAAAATTGCATTTTTTTCAAAAAAACAAATCATTTATCAGGCACTTGAGTGACATTTTAAAACAAGTATACAAGAAATTACAAGTATACAAATCATTGTAAAATTTACAGATTTGTATTGAAGTGTTTCTAATGTTAGTGATATTAATAACTATACTATCATCTTTATTTATCTTAACTATACTCCACTATTTTTTTTATGTTTTTGTTTATATATAATACACGAGGGATTAAAATTACAGGTAGCTAATTTGTGTTTTATGACGTCGCCATCACAATCACGGAATGTTTGTTGTTAATTATGACAATCAATAGATATATTTCCTATATTTTTAGTTGGTGTACTTATAAACTCACAACAATGTGCTTTACTACCATTGATAATAAATTCTGCATATCTGTGAACATCGACGTCGTAAAAAACCAATTAGCAACCTGTATTTGTAATCCCTTGTGTATTACATGTATATTAACTCAACATTTGAAATTTTAAAATTATATATCTAATAAACGAATAAAGTTCAATTAAAAATTCCAATTACTATTAAATTAAAAACTCTAAATTTATTTATTAAATTCAAAATATGTGTTCGTATTTAAAAAAAACAATGTTGACACCCTTACAAGGTATAAGTGATGAACTTAAAAACTGTTACATAGCTAATAATTCAAGAATAATATGTAACTTAATGTCACAAAATAATTTCTATATATATATTTAAATTACTTTCATTCTGCAAGTAAATTAATTAAAAGTCCATTTCTTTATCTTGCCTCATGCTTGGGGCAAGATGAATCTTTCAATGGGGCAAGTTAACATACCATATATTAATCTAAGTTCTGCTAAAAAATATATATGTAGTCCCAAATTAAAAGGAGGTCACCTTCAGTTCTCTTTAGAAATTTTGGTTGTATTATAAAATTATTAATTGTTTGTCTGAATAATTAAAAAAAAAACTGAAGTATAAAATATTCAAAAATAGTCCTCTAAATTGAATATGACTTAATATCCTAAACACTGTTTATTCGCGATTTATTTATCCATTGCATTAATAAAAAAACTTTTATTTATTTTATCAAAATAAAAGAAAAATTAATTTTATCACCCTTAGTTAAAACTATACGCTGTAAAACTATATTATATCGTTCTATTAAAAAAAGTTACAAGTGTGATTTAAAACAAATATATGTTAAATATATTAATATAATATAATACGTTAAATTATTTTCGAAAAATTTGTCATTGTTTGGTTAGTATACAAAAATATTTCCATGAAATGTTCACAACATCACTATATTTATCATTTTATTTTTTTAATCCCTAGATTATCTTGCTCTATTCTTCCCCATTATAAATATTTTTTGATTTTGTATTTATAACTATTTTTAAAATATATTGTCAAAGTATCTTTTATAAATAATCACCTCAAAAGTACTGATTATAATTTAACCTTTTTAAATTCACTTGAAATATTATTATTTATATAATTAACAATTATTTTAACCTAATTTTTTATATTTGACAAATCATTTCTACTTTTTAGCTTTGATGCGAAGCTGAAAAAGTATTGTTTTTACTATTTTATGTTTTTTTTTTTGTGTCTGTTACCACTTTTTCTCAGCTCTCACTGGACCGATTTCTTTTAACGATACGTCAATAGATCACAAATCGTATCTAGTCGAATACACTACCCTCAAAAATTGAAAAAATTTCCCTCGTTCCTCGTAAATGAGGGAAATCTCCAAAAAAATTACAAATTTAAAAATCGCTAATTTTTTCAATTTTATTTACTTAAAATTACCATAACTTTTTTAAAAATGAACAAATCAGTATAATTTTTTTTTATTGATGCTTGAGGTCTTTATCTATCATTTGATAAATTTTTTTTATAAATCTAACCTTTTACCTGACTATATAGAGGGATTCAAAATGACAACTTTTTCACAAAAAATTAACTTTTTCAACTTGACTTTTGAAAATATTCCGGGAAGTCTGACACTTTTATATATATCTTAAATTAAAGCTATTGTAATATGATTTATCACGAGAAAAAAATGTTTGGTCTTTATTTTGTCTTCACAGTGAAAATAGTTACCAAATGCAATTTTTGTGTAAAAATTCTCTACTTTATTTTTACATTTTTAACTTTATAATGCTTTAACTTATTGAAAAGTGTATGGATCAATACAATTTTTTTATAAGAAATAATATTTATATCCGTTTTTCATTCGACATACTTTACCTTAATCAGGGTAAAAATTAGGAAATATCAGATAATGTAGCTATTAGAATAATCCACCAATTTTTTAAAATTAAACACTATTTAAAGATTTGCATTGAATCATTTTTTATGATAATGATTTTAATCACTGTCAGATATCATTATACTTTACCCAACTATGCCAAGTCACCACTGTGCCATGACCCCCCTTTACTGGGTATTTGGTTATTTAAATTATAATTACAGAAAAATACGATAGAATAAACATGTTTGATATTTAGTTTTATAGTTTCGATGCGAAGATGAGATGGTATTAATTTTACTACGATGTTTTTTTAAATATTTAAATTTTTTTTTTTGTGTTGAAATTTTTGATTTTATATTTTACATTTTTAACTTTAAAATGCTATAACTGATTAAAACATGTATGAATCAATACCTATTTTTGATGAAAAATTATATTTATATAGTTCTTTCATTCAACACACCTAAGTTTTTTAAGTAGAACCATTTATCATTATATATTTATAAATTATAAATATATGTATATTGAAAGATTAAATTTCTAGACTCTTATGAATGCTCTCCACCACGGAAATCTTTAGTAAATGGCGAAAGATTTATGTGTATTGAGAGGAAAACGGAGACAGAAATGATGTGTGGAATATATTTGTTAGTTGTGTAAAGAACACTGCAAAGGAGATTGTTGGTGAGAGTAGGAGTAAAATGCCAGGAAACAAGGAAATCTGGTGGTAAGATGAAGACATTCAAAAAATCATAAAAATTAAGAAAAAGCAATCCGAAGTATGACAGAAGAGCAAAAGGAGAGAAGATTGGATAGTCTATATAAACGCATGTACATAGAAGCCAAGTGTGTAGTAAGGAAGGCGAAGTTTAAGAGGTATGATAGGCTAGGAACAAAGGAAAACGAGAAAGAAATGTATAGACTTACAAATGTAAGAGTGATAAGATCTAAAGATTATCATTATATAAGGTGTAAAAAGTGTTGATAATAAGGTACTCTTAAGTGATGATGATGTGACAAAAAAGTGGAAAGAGTACTTTGAAAAATTACTGAATGAGGAGTACCCAAAAGAGACATTAGAGGATATCTCGTGGAATGAGGGACTGGTAGATTTAATTAGTGAGAAAGAGATATGGGAGGCTGTGGCATCAATGAAAAAGAATAAAGCAGTGAGATCAGATAAAGTGCCAGTAAAAGAATGGAAAATATTAGGCGGTGTTGGCATATGGTGGTTGAAGGAACTTTTAAATAAAATCTTATTAGATGGTAAAGTTCAAAGGAATGGAGGAATAGTATTATGGTGCCGATATTTAAAGGTAAAGGTGACATACAGGGGTGTAGAAATTATTGAGGCATAAAGCTTATGAGTCATAGTATGGAAATTTGGGAAAAGATAATAGATTAGAAAATAAGAAATGAGACATCGGTATCTAAAAACCAGTTTGGATTTATGCCTGGTGAGTCAACAATGGAGCCAGTATTTTGTGTGAGGCATTTAATAGAAAAGTTTAAGGAAAAGAAGAAAAAGCTGTGTATGGTATTTATAGATTTGGAGAAAGCGTATGATAGAGTGCCGAGAGAGGTTTTAAAGTGAGCATTAATGAGAAAAGGAGTCCTGAAAAGGTACATTAATATAATAAAAGAAATGTTTAATGGAACTTGTATCAAGGTAAAAAGCTTAGGAGGAGTATCAGAAGATTTTCGGGTAAGAGTAGGTGTGCACCAAGGTTCTGCTTTAAGCCCTTACTAATTTTTTATAGTGATGGATGAAATTACTAGAGAAATACAAGGAGAGGTGCCGTGGTGCATGTTGTTTGCTGACGATATAGTGCTAATAGGTGAAAATAGAGAGGAAATTAATCAAAGGCTAGAAGTGTGGAGATCAACTCTCAAAAAAAGGGGTTTAAGAATAAGTAGGAGTAAGGTAGAGTAAATAGAGTACGAGTTTGATAAAGGAGAACACGAGGTAGATGAAATATGTAGACTAGTGACAATAGGCGAGGACATGATTGGAGAGGTGGAAAGTTTTATAAAGAAGATATATATATATATATATTCATATATTACAAATTATAAAACTTTTAATCAGTACATAAATAAGGACATAGAAGATCATGTAGTTTTTGGAATAATCTATCAATTTTTTAAAATTAAACACTATCTATAAATTTGCCTTTTTTATGATAGTGATTTTAATCATTAACAGATATCATTATACTTGACCCAACTATGCCACGTTCCCACTGTGCTTCGATCCCACTGTAGTTTTTTTTTTTTATAGTATTCTTGTTCAAATTTATTTTAAATCTTAAACTCAACGAATAAGTACCATATGTTATTTTTAAGTTTTGATAAAAAAAATAATAATTCTATTTGGATAGGTGATATTTATTTATAGAAAACAAGATAACTCGTTGATATTCCCTCTTTTCCTGTACTATTATATTACCTTTATTCATATGTTTATTTAATCCTCGTGATCCGGATACTATTAAAAAAATGTATTTATTGTTAGTTAAATTTAAAATTAAATAATCTTAGGCAAAAAATTATTACCATTACTGAAGTTTACAAAAAATATCATTAAGATGATTGTAAAATAATAAACATGCTGTAAAATAAATTTTAATTTTAATTTTTATAAATTAAAAAATTATCATTTTGTTAATTTTTATTACTTACAGAACATTTTTTTAATGTAAAATGTACTTTTAAGTTTAACATTTCACTGATAAAAAAAGATTTAAATGAATACAAATAAAATACAAGTCTATAATTTGAAACTAGTTAACAATTTAAAAAACAAGAGTTAATCAGTTTTTTTTTATATTTAAGTAAATACTAAATAAATATTTGTTCTTTATTTAATAAATCACTTTATATTCATTTACCATTTACTCATTTTTAAAATCTTTAAAAAATAATCTTTATGTGAAGTAAAAAAAAAAAAAAATTTATTTTGTGACTCCTCATTTCAAAATACATGCAATGAAACTAGTGAATTATTCTTACGCATACATAGCTGAATTGAGTATAAGTGTATTTTTTAATGAAAAACATACATATTATAAAATAAAATCTGTTTTTTATAAAGACTTAAACGTGATTTTTCTTTTCACGTTGAACTAACACCTCTTATATCATAAGTAATATTAAATATTGTTTTATTTGTTTTTAAATAAGTAAAAATGGGTCATATACTGACAAACTGCGCGATATATGGTAAACTAAACACAATGAGCACTAAACAAATAATTTGAAATACAGTGAATGTAATTTCCAATGACTTAAGATTTACTTTTTTCCTGTTTAATGAAGTTGATAAAACTGAAAAAGCATATTTTTCATGTCAAATGACAAAATATAATTTTTTTAAGTCTTGTTAGTACAAATTTTATAGTTAATATAAACTTTAAGTGAAAAATAGTAACTCTTTGTACTATATTAGTTAATAAAATATAATTCCTATATATTCCTACTACTATTCATTATCAATTTAAGTATCAATATTATGCCAGGTTTTATAATTTAAATGAATAATTTGTATTATTAGATTTTTATGAATATCAAATTTATAAAATATGCACAACGAAATTAAACTTAGATTGTGTGTAGGGAATAGAAGTTTTTACGCTATGAAAGAGATGTTCTCATCAACTTAATTGATTAACATAATTTTATTTTATTTTTAATATTAATATTATTTAAACAATTTTTTTTAGAAATTATGTATGAAATAAATTTTTTTCTTTACGTATTCACAATGCAATAAAATTTTAAACCATTTAAAATTATTCTGACTAAATATCCTATACACATTAACGATACATGTTACTTAAAACATTAATTGAACAATAACCATAATATTCTGTTATTTAAAGAGCAATAAAATTATACTTTATTTCACACTTTTAATATCAGTAGTTTTTATATTTCTATGCTGTCAAACATATCTATTTTTATTGACTAAAATATGAAAAATTAGATAGCTTTTAAATTTACGACATGCTGAATAATAGATAAGAACAATATATTATTATTTTCGAAATATGTTATTATTGCAATTAGTATTGTAAAATCAAATCAATGATACATTTTTACTTGAAAGCCCAATGTTTAAGTAATCTTAAAACGCAAACTATTGATTTTGTAGAACGAATTAGATCAATAAAATTGTTTGAAATTTTTAAAATATTTACAGATATTCCCATGTCTTCATTTTTATGCTGTTGTTTGGAACTCGTTGCCTCAGATATAGTTAATAAACAAGATATCTGACTGGTGATAACTCTTCTATATGTAAACAAAAAGTAGCAGCCATTTTATTGTAGGTATTGGTATTATCATTTTGTTGTCATGATAAGAACTAATACCGGTTGAGTGAAAATATATATTATAATAATATTACTTTTAATCATTTTATTTCATTAATTTCCCATTGTTACGTCGCTATTTAGGGGTTTAGCCTAAATGCTCGTCGACAGTATTCTAAGGGACCAACGGGGGATAGCTGGCTAGGCTATATCTACCTTAGGTACTGAAGTTTCCTATTTAATTTATATTCCCTTAGAGGAACTACCAAGGGTCGNCATTATTCTTGAATTTTTAACTATGTAATACTTTTTAAGTTCATCCCTTATGCCTTGGAAGGGGGTCAACTTTGTTTTTTAAAATGTTAACACATATTTTTAATTTAATAAAATGTTTGAGTTTTTAATTTAATAGTAAATGGCATTTGAATTTTTAATATAACTTAATTCGTTTATTAGATATAATCATTTAAAGTTTCAAATTTTTGAATTAATATACAGGTATAATACACAAGGGATTACAAATACAGGTAGCTAATTGGTTTTTTATAACATCGATATTAGCAGGTACACAGCATTGTTATTATCAATTGTAGTAAGGCACATTGTTATGAGTTTATAAATACACTAACTGACAATACAGAAAGTATATCTATTGATAATCATAATTGATAATAAACAATCCGTGACTGAGACAGCAATGTCATAAAAATCCAATTAGCTACCTGTATTTACAATCCCATGTGTATTATACATGTATATTAACTCAAAATTTTGAAACTTTAAATGTTTATATCTAATAAGCTAATAAAGTTATATTAAAAATTCAAATGCCATTTACTATTAAATTAAAAACTCAAACATTTTATTAAATTAAAAATATGTGTTACCATTTAAAAAAACAAAGTTGACCCCCCTCCAAGGCATAAGGGATGAACTTAAAAAGTATTACATAGTTAAAAATTCAAGAATAATGTGTAACTAAAGATAATAAAACAAAAAAAGGTTTAAATTATTATTATTCTGCGAGTAATTGAGTGGGTTATGATAAAAAAATCACCTTGTATATATGTCTATTAAACGGTACAAGGATGTTATGGGAGACAGAGATATGGGGACATAAAAATGTGATCGTATCACCATATTTTGTATAATAATTAATAGAATGGTTTATGTATGCATTGTAAAAAACTGCATTAACTCAAGAATTGCTACTAAAAATTACGATTGTAAAATGTTTAAAATACCAAAATATTATCCCCGGTTAGTTTTTTTATTATTATAAATTAATAAAAATAATATTTGTATCTTAAAAAATTTTAAATTTATTCAATTATTATAAAACATTGTTACAAAATTGCAACAGAAATGATTTGTTAGACAAATCAATTGATACATTGAATAAATATTATATGGTTTATAATGCTTATTTCAAACCTAATATGTTTTTTAACCCAGAATATTTTTTCAAACAGTCTTAGAGCTTAAATTGTCTGAATGACTTTTAAAATTTTAACTAATTTAAGATGTTGCTCCTGATTAAATAGTCTTATTGCATTTAAACCTGAGAAAACTCTTATAATTTTGAACACTTTAAAGTTGGTAAGATTGATTACGTTGATTTAAGTTTTCCTGCTATAAATGTCCTTATTTATGTATGTGACTATCTACTTAAGAAATCACTAGAAAAACATAATTGTGTATATGTATAAGTGATGTTAAATCTCAAAATCAGTTAGATAAATCTTTTTTTTTTACATATTCTAAAGCTTACCATAATGAAAATTTACTCACTTATGGAAACTTAATTATAAATATATAAAAATATAAAAAAAAAACATAAATAATTAAAATTGTAACGTTACATTTTGAAAAAGATATACACAATTTTAATGTTGAAAAGTGGTCACATATATTTACCTACATAAAAATGATGGACTGATTCTAATCACCTCCCTATATTGACCATGTAAATTTTTATCAGTGTCCATTCTGTTTATTCTGTGGTAATAACGACTGAAGCCAAATAGCCGCCATCTTTTTTGAGACTAAACATATTGATAACGACTGCAATAAATAACTGAGTCGGACTAATTTTCTAAAACATTACTTGGTAACCTATTATATACCAAGAAAAAAGTGATCAAATAATAAAGAAAACATAATAATATATATATATATATAATAGCCATATTTGACATAAGTAGGGTAATATTGGGGTTTCT